TACGCCGCAAGGTGATAATTTTACGGTGGTCGAGCTGAAGGAAGCTCTGCGCGAGAGAGGACTACCGGCGTCGGGATCGAAATCCGAGCTAATTGCTCGATTGAGCGAACAGGATCCAGACATTTGGACGGTTTTAACTACCAAAAAAAACCGAGTGCCGTCGGAAGAGGGCGCATCAACATCGGCCATTGTACAGGAAACGACGCAAGCGCCGAACGCCGGCCCGGCATCGGGAGACGATTACGTGCGACGCGAGCTAGCACTGATTCGTCAGGAGAGGGAACTACTGGAGAGGGAGCAGCAACTGTTACACCGAGAGCGCGAGATGGCGCGCGGCGCGTCGACGACGAGCAATGCTGCTTCGGTGACAGGAGGCATCCGTAACCTTAAAGAGCTGGTTCCTGAATTCGATGCCTCAGAAAATACCTTTTGGCGGTGGAAAAACCAAGTCGAGCTTATCCGAAACACCTATCGATTGGAGGATGATGCGACAAGAATCTTAATCAGCTCGAGACTAAAGGGGCGAGCTCTTACGTGGTTCCATTCGAAGTCTGAGCACTTGACGTTAAGTGTCGATGGGCTGCTCGAGGCGATGCAGCAGATATTTGATCTACGACCGAAAAAGCTGTCACTTCGGAAGGAGTTCGAGGCTCGCATCTGGAAAGCCGAAGAAAGCTTTTGTGATTATTATCATGACAAAGTGATAAGTGCAAACCGAGTGCCGGTAGAGGAGGACGAACTACTTGACTATCTCGTGGACGGTATCCCGGATACGCGTTTACAGAATCAAGCGCGCATTATGAACTTTTCGTCGAAAACGGACCTCCTCAAAGCGTTTGAAAAAATTACTCTTGATGCCAAACGATCCAGTGATTCCAAACAAAAGAAGGATGGCCTGAAGTCGTCACAATCGAAGGCCGAGACATCGTCTACAAAAGGACGAACTGTCAAGTGCTATAAGTGTCAGGCGGTGGGGCACATCGCCACCCAATGCAAACAGTCGACGACTCCGTCGACAAAGAGGGCGTGCTACGTATGCGGATCAGCGGGGCATCTGGCGAGAGATTGCTCCGAGCGGAAGCAGCAAGCGGCCTCGGAGACCGGTGAGAAGCTGACGGCGACGACAACGTCAACGAACCTTGTGCAAACAGCTGTTCTGCGTAAGCCGTATCTGGTCACTGTAAAAATTAGGCCCAGCGAAAATACC